GAAGAGGCCCTAAATGTATTCCTAAGTTAGAATATGATGGAGAAGCACATGACCACATAATTAAGTGCACCACCAGATTACATGGGGCATAAGGATTGCCCTCACCTCGCCAATATATATATATATATATTGATTTTATTTTTATTTAAACGACATCTTAGGCTCGAAGCTAGCTATTTCTATACTTTCTCCGTCCCTAAGGTTGCGTTCCGTTTTCCTGATCTGATTTGGTCTGGTTTGATCTAATTGCAGTTATAATTAAAGGTGTGTTTGGTGAACAAACAAGATATATGTTTTGATATCTCCAGATATTAGAATTCTTTTTGGATGTTTGATGAGTTGATATCTCTCTCAACTATTGATCATTTTCCGTCACCGGCTATCATTGTCACTTCAACCACCTCCAATGCCGGTCACACTCACTTATCACTAATTAAATATAATTTTAAATCTCTCCAAACAAATTCATTTCAGATTTCAAACCACATATCATTCTTCTCTGATTTCATAACTCATATCTTATCATATCTTCAAAACTTACCAAACGGGCACCAAAGTTATTTCTGATATGACATGATTATAATAAGAATAAGTAATAAGCCAAAATAATAAGTTGAACGGAACACTGCCTAAATCATTTACAGTTTAAGCAAAATAAAGTAAAATTACAATTTTTTTCAATTCATTTTATTTATGCAATTGGTATAGAAATAAAATAAAATTTACATATTTAAAAGGTACATTAAAAATTCTACAAAACAATGAGAAACAAGAATAATTTATTTCATTAAATATTAAATGAAAACATACAAATAAAAAATAATTCTTGCAATTTTTATATAATAAAGTATGTAATTCAATTAGAGAGGAAGGGAATTGAACAAGTCCTTTATTTGCAAAAGTGCGTTGCTAATTTGCAATCTGAACTGATGGAAGGGAAAGAAAAGGGGTACAAGAGTTAGTGGAGTATCAATTTTGTAATTAATTTATTTAATTCAATGTGTATTTAGAATGACCAGTCTTTTGTTGCTTGTTTTGTCTCATTAATTAATTACTATATTATTAATAATAATTAATTAATTAATTATTGTTGCTATAGCATTATTCAATGCTTATTTCAGTTATTTGGCAGCATGGCTTTTAATTTGTACAAGGGAACGAACATGCTATGTTCTACGTATGCTACCTAGCCAGCCAAATTCATTCCACTATATTATTCCCTCCATATCCTTCGTAAATTAATTTTCTCTCGTTTTTTACTTTATAAATAAATAAATAAATAAATAAATAAATATATATATATATATATATATATATATATATATATATATATATGCTCAGTAATGAAATTTGAGCACTTATCATTTGATTAAAAAAAAGAGATAAATACTCCATCCGTGTTGAACTATATATTTGTCTTAGTTTAATTTTATGAAGTTTTAAAAATAAAGTTGTAAAATAAAAAGTATTGCCTCCATCCCAAATTAGATTATACGGAGTATTTTTTAGAGAACTTTTGATGTATTTTAATAATATGTACTTGGAGTAATTTTTATTAATTATTCTTATATCAGTTTTCAATTGATTTTTAAAATGCGAAGTTTTGTCTCGTAAATGGAAATTTTAATCCAATTTCAGACAGATAGAGTAAATGATTAGACTCTTTTAGAAAACTGAAAAAAATTGTTAACCTCATATTCTTTACTTTGACTCATTATCTCGTAATTCTCCCTCTGTCTCTAAAAGGAGTTCTCTATTCGAAAGACTTGCAAAATCTCACGACGTTTAAAATGATTTTATTTGCAAGTTCGTATAGAAATAAGAAATAAAATTTACCTATTTAAGAACTATAATAAAAGTTTTATAGAAAAAGATAATCAGAATACTTTGTTTTATTAAATTATAAAGGAAAGTATGCAAATGAAAATTATCGAAAGATTATAGTAATATTGAACAGACAGATCATTTGGAATGGAAAGAGTATTTTTCATCATAAAATAAACGAAAAGTAATTAATAAATCAACTGCGAGTACTAATTGGCACGTAATAATGCCGTAATGAGTGGTTTTTGTTATAGAGTAGTTACGTGCTAGTTAACGAGTGATTAATTATCAATGAGTAATTAACTATTGTATTGAATTTTCTCATCATCATCTATTGCCTATTCCGTATTGGACGGTGCGTGCCTGCTTTTTTATTTCTTAGAGTACTCCGTATATTTTTAGCACTAATACTGTTACGGATTATTATGACTCGGTATTCTTAATGACTTTGAAATTGTCTCTTTCGATGAAGCTTCCATAGAATAGATTCATCAAACTGTTCTTTTCGGTTGTGGTTGTTGTGTTTAATTTATTAAAATCAGATCAGACTTGATTAAAATCTAATCAAATTAGATTCAATCCCAATTGTTTATTCTTATTATGACATAATAATAATAATAATGTCGGATTCAAAAGTAATGCTTATGACATAACCCTGTGAAGCCATAACGTGTTTGAACAAAATTTTCAGTTTCCATACCGACCAGGCAACCACAAAGTATCATGCCACTGGAATTTTAAGTGCTTGGAATTGTGACAACTATACAAATAAATTTCTAATTTTTTTATTTTAAATTTAGAAAAAAATGTAATAATCTGTAGCATACAGATTTATATTCATATTTTTAAATGTAAGATGTAGAAAAAATGTAATATTTTGTAGCATAACATTCATATTTTCCATCGATTGGATACTTTAATAATAATAATAATAATAATAATAATAATAATAATAATTTATTGAATATTAAAAAGTAAATAATTAAATTTTTCAATTATTGATTATTTTCAATGATATTTTATTCTGATGTGTATATGAATTAATTATTTTTATTTCATAAATCTAATAATTCTAGAATAAAAGTTATTGATTGTATTATAATATGAATGATCATTATAGTTTTTTAAAGTTATTAAACTATGGTGATAATTTTAAGTTTAATTTGAATTGAATTTAGATCAGATCAAAACATATTAGAACAAAACTTTAAAAAAGCAGATCTGATCAGGGAAACGGAACGCAGCCTTAGCGACACTTATAATGGGACGGACTCACGCCACGTCTTATTTCCTGTCACATTATTATTTCCTTATTTTTCAATTTTGCCGCAAAACATTTATAATAATATTGTTATCTCGTCCCGTATCTCCATTTATTTTATATTACTCATCATTTTTAATTTAAAATTTATATAAATTTAAAAAAATTATTTATTTAATAGAGAAATATACAAGTTATAAAAATAAGAAAACATTATAACAATTACAAAACTAAAAATAAGCGAATACCACATTTAAAGCACGAAACACTACACTAATAAAAATAGAATTTTAATATGCTTAAAATTTAAATTAGAATTACAAATTTTGAAAAATTAAAACCATAAAAACAAATATTATTGAGTTGCCCTACTTGTCATGGCGTGGGCTATCGCCATTCTGTCGTGGTGCATCTTCAACTGCAACTCCGGATGTATTCGTTGCCATGAATGCCTTGGGGTTGTTGACATTAAGAATCAAGGTCATGCTCTCTAGGTTATTATTCGTTATGTCCAACGCTAGATTTGTACTAGGACCCTTCGCCTTGGCCTCCCCCCGTGTCTTCTTTATCGCCTTTGTCCCGGTCTAACGTCTCTAATCATTAAGTTCCTTGCTCGAGAACAAGGAGGAGGAGTCCATGTATGTGGCATTGAGCTCAATGGATTGCCCACTCTTGCTCGTTGAGTACAAACCAGTCTTAGAGAGTTTGGATTGCTTCGTCCCCGATCCTCCACTTGAAAATAAAGGTCTAACACCTTCGAGAGAATGTTGTCGGTGTTAGAATTATTTGTAGAGGCAGAGATGGCAAATGCTATGTGTTTACCTTTGGTGTATATAAATGAGGTATACTTTTGGATGTACTCGTTATATTTTCACGTTAATGAGGAGAGAAAATAATAAGAAAACTAAGAGAAAAAATGATAGAAAAGAAATTTGTGAGAAAATGAAAAAATGATTGTTGTTTGGATTAAGACCGGACGTAATGGTAAAAAATGACGCCTTCGTTTCAAATGATTGTTGTTTGGATTAATTGGTTGATGCCAATTAACAGTGCCCTAGTGGGCATCTTTTTTATCAAAAGGGATAGGGGTCCCAGACTAACTCAAGCGTACTCTACAAATTCTGGTAATATCCATAATGTCATTAGCAATGATGTCAATGGAAGCGTGACACATTTCACGATTGAAAAACCATAGATTTTATTTAAAGCTATGCAATACATATTTAATTAAAAAGTATTTCAATTTTAAAACACGTGTCAGTTGAAAAGCCACAAATTATAACCTATGCAATACATATTTTAATATATTCTCCCCCCTCACACACACACAAATATTTAGCATGTACATGTTTCAACATATGATTTTTGTCTAGTGTTTAATTATGTAATGTTATTTTTTTGTAAATGCCCCTAAAAGGCATGATCTAATAGAAAATGACAAGAAAATGATTAAAAAAAGATTAAAAGATAAAAGAAGAGAAAATAAGTGATCTGGGAGAAAAGACACATCACTCATACTATTTTCTCACCAATTTTGATAAGACTTTATTTATGTGAAATCTATGATTATTTTTTCAACTATTCTATTTTTTTCTCTCTTAAAACAAACACGGGAAAATGTTTTCTTTATCACATTCTATTTTCTTTTCCTCCCATGTTAGTTTTCACATCATTCAACCAACCATTGATTCCATTAAATTCCCGTGTTAAACATATACTCCCTCAATTTCTACTACTACGGAGTATTTAATTGTGTGGTTCACTGTTTGAATTTAAATTTGTGGGACTAGTAATAATAAGTGTATCCAGTTAAAAAAAAAAGAAGTTGAGCAATAGGGAGTGAAGTCCACTGAATAGATCTCCCCTCCCGTTCCAATTTGGGGAAAGCGAGCGCGACGACTTTTTACTGTAAAATCGCGCCTCTGGTTCAACATTCTCCGTGCTTGATTTGCGCAATAATCTCCGCACCGGTCCTTGCAATTTCAAAGCGCTTCATCAATCTACAAGGAAATCTGGTCAATACTCCTCCCATTCCATTCACCTCCATCCCGTCGTCTTCATTCATTCATTCTCCAGTTGAGCTGAGCTGCTGCTTAAATTATTTGATCGTGAGTTCTTCTTCTTCTTCGTCTAATTCTTCTGTACTCATCATGACGTTTTTGTTCTGGTGCAATTATGATATTTTGTCCCCAAGAGTGGACACGAAATACAATCCACCCGTAGTGGATTTGGACATCGCGCATTCATATATATATATATATATATATATATATATATATATATATATATATATATATTTGGGCGCAATCGCAGAGAATGCAACTTGCCGAAATCCCGGCCCCTTGCTCAATTATGGCTCCCAGGCCCACCTTGTTTTTGTGTTCTCTGGGTGGGGATCATCCATCCATCCCCTTACCACTTACCCCCCCAGTTAATGCTTTCACCTCTCACTCATCACTCCGCACTTGGAGTGGAGCATTCTACCTAAGCTCTCTCCAACACCATCATCTTATTCTCTCCTGTGATTTTATGTATTTCTAAGGGCCCATTTCTCCAAATCGGTTCATTTTCTGGGGAAAATTTGTGTCGTGGCATTCACTTTTGCCACAGTTCTGCATCTTCCAGGCAGATTTAAACCATTTATGTCTGCCAAACTGAGCCCAACATTTAAGATCAAACATTTACCATCCATCCATCCACAGTTCCACTTATAAACGTTCTCCATCAGCTTTTAATTAATCATTTTCTTACTTCTGTGATCATTTGCTGCCAAATCTAATCAACTGTGTTATACTGTGATAGCCTAGGTCTATTTCCAAAACATTTAAGAGCTTACTATACTACTTATGGAGTACATTTTACTACTACCTCCGTCGGGATTTAGTTGCCCACTTTCCATAATACATCTCAAATTTAAGGAAATGCACGTAAAGGCACAAAACATTCCTAAAAATTAGTTAGTTGATGCGAACAATGCTAATATGTTGTTTTTATATATAATTCACAATAGCTGTTCACTAAATATCGTAAGTGGGCAATTAATTCCGGAAGGCCCAGAAATTAAATCTTGACAACTAAATCTGGCTCGAAGGAGTAATTCATCATCATCATTATTTCTAATGCTTGTTAAAGAGAGGGAAATGGGCGTTTGCACATGCACACAATTGAGAATTGCATGGGAGAAGATAACTTTATTCCATGTGCTAATCAATTGTCTTATGACTCTTCAGCTTTTGAGGCTGTGATCAGCCCCTTGAATTTTCATCTATCCTGTCGTCAACTTCATTGCACAATGTGGACTGCTCGTCGTTCAATGATAAAAGAGAAACATTCTTTGCGTTGGGGACTAGGGGCTCCTCATTGTTTACATATTATTCTTTGCTTTGCTATAAATCGTATCCATAGAATCAATATGTTCACTACTATTTTTTGTGCCCTTCGTTTTTAAAATGTGAATGAAAATTACATTATAAATGAAAACTTTGATCTTAATGGAAGGGATTTTTTTTTGTTTGTTTTTGTTTCTGCAGTGAGACATTAGGGGAGCAATCTATGAGCTGCTTTGGCTGTTGTAAGGAAGGTGATTTGAAGCAGACCTCTGATGGGGGAGGTCAGCATTCAGTGAAATTTTCAGCAGGTAAGAGAGCACAACTTATGGGGTTAGGACATAGCATGAGATTTGAAATAGTACGGAGTACTTCTTATGGGATGTAATGAATAGATCTACTTTTATTTTTTAGGTTGGCCTCTCTTAGATTATTGATCTTAGGAAATGATTTTATTTCCTAAACCCACTCCATTAACAGTTTCAGTTCCTTGGTGGAAGTGTCTACGTTTTGTATATGTCTACTTTTTGTATATCTTGTTGTCATTTCAGCTCTTTATATTTATTTTAGGCTGTGGAGTTAATGTTTTAATTTTCTATCATGGTATTGAGTCTATTCACAGATGAACAAGAAATGAATATTTTTTATATTTTTCAGGTAAATATGAAACTAAACACGACAAAGAGGCACTGGGTGGTATTCAAGACATTAAATCTCAGTCTATTGCAGTCCCTGCAATACCAATCGCTGAACTTAGGGAGGTCACAGGTAATTTTGGGAGTGCTGCTTTAATTGGGGAAGGTTCGTATGGAAGAGTGTATTATGGAGACCTTAAATTTGGGAGGGCTGCTGCAATTAAGAATTTGGATTCAAACAAACAACCAGAGGAGGAATTCTTGGCACAGGTGCAATTGAATACCAAGACAATTTTCTCCTCACAGAGGATAGTACACTAAGAGCTTGTTCTCTTCGTTTGATCTTTCATTAGATCTAATCTGATTTTATTAAGGTCTTATCTAGTCTGATCTGATTGTAGTTATATTTAAGGGTGTTTCTAATTTGATCTGGTCTGATCTTATCTGATTCTAATAAGAATAAGTAATAAGTAGTAAGTTGAAGAGAACAAGCTCTAAGCCCCTGATGATATCTACAGGTATCTATGGTTTCAAGGTTAAACCACGAAAATTTTGTTGAATTACTTGGCTATTCTGTTGATGGCGATCAACGTGTTCTTGCCTATGAGTTTGCATCCAATGGATCACTTCATGATATTCTTCATGGTATGTGATCCTTTTATAACGTTTGAAAAAATATTATTCAGCGTAGTTATTTCAGCTCCTCTTTCCGTCCAGCTTTTTTTTGTCATCATTTGGAGCTTCACTCCAATTCCCAGCACTATAGTCATTTAAATGACATTCAGTTCTGCAGAATGAATTTCCAAATTCTTGTGGGGCATTTCTTTTTTAGGGATATTCAAAAATACAATCCTAGATTGGTTTTGCTGAATATTCCAGCTAGAATAAAGTTCCACAAAGTAATATGCCATTCTGTTTAATTAACAATTTTTTCTCATCATAGTTTGATTGTAAAAGAATGTAAGAAACTATCAGGAGTAGTACATAATTTTCATTTTCAGAGGTGTTTCACTTCCCAGATATGTGAGAGTTTGAAGGAGGCTATTGTAAGGCTATGCTTAGGAGTCGGGGTCTGGCGGGGAGGTTATTTTTTTAATAATCATAAAATATTATTTTACCTTGATTTATAAGCAATAATAAAAATGGTGAACTACTATCAACTTAATTTCATACCCATCTACTTATTACCATAACTCGTTTATAATTCTCTTAATTAAAAATAAAAAATTACCCCTCCACTCTTTTTTCCTTCAAACCGAATTACAAACATAGTTTACGCACTTTCAGTGTTCATATTTCAGGGAGGAAGGGAGTAAAAGGAGCACAACCTGGCCCTCTGCTTTCCTGGACACAGCGAGTTAAGATTGCTGTAGGAGCAGCTAGGGGCCTCGAGTATCTGCACGAAAAAGCTGAAGTTGAATTGGTGCATCGAGATATCAAATCCAGCAACGTTCTGCTTTTTGATGATTATGTAGCAAAAATAGCTGATTTTGATTTATCCAACCAGTCTCCTGAAATGGCAGCACGGCTCCACTCAACTCGTGTTCTTGGCACATTTGGCTATCACGCTCCTGAGTAAGTAAAGCTAGCATGAGCTTTGTATCTATCTAGTTTATGCACATTTCATCATATATCCCCGTGGTTGTTTTTTAATCATACACGCCCTCTCCCAATGTGGATGTGGCTGGCTGCATTGTTTTAGATGTTGAAGCATCTGTTATCTGTGGTTTTGTGAATGGGTAGATATGCAATGACTGGGCAGCTAAATGCAAAGTGTGATGTGTACAGTTTTGGCGTTGTCCTTCTTGAGCTGCTCACCGGGCGTAAACCCGTTGATCAGACCCAACCGCGAGGCGAACAAAGTCTTGTTACATGGGTAATTCCATCCAACAACCGAAAATATCTTTTAATATTTTTTCCAATCGTTTGGTTTTTTATTCTAACACATTGTGTGGCATCTTCTAGGCTACTCCAAAACTCACTGAAGACAAGGTTCGGCAATGTGTCGATCCGAGGCTGGCAGGGGAGTATCCCCCCAAAGCAATTGGAAAGGTAAATAAAGAACTTTGATTTTTCCTTTGCGCTGTTGAGACAGATAAATACTCCCCCCATTACCTTAGCGGTGGAATTATAATCCCAGTCCAAAAAGACAAGACTAGAAAGAAAGACATGAGATTGATTCTGTGTTTGATGCAGTTTGCTGCTGTCGCTTTGTTGTGTGTGCAATACGAGGCAGATTTTAGGCCAAACATGGGCATTGTGGTGAAGGCACTCCAGCCCCTTCTCAATACACGGCCTGGTATTGGTGGCGACGTGGGCCACGCGGCGTGATGAATGCTAGGAGTAGTACTATATTGGTTACAGTCAATTACACTTTTGTCCTCATTAGTTTGTACTTTTATAGGCACATTGATTTGGTCCAACATGAGAGCGGGGTGTGTCTTTAGTACACCCCTTTCAAGTGTAATTGCTTGAAGAAAAAGAAAAGGACATTTGACTTCTTCAACCTTGAGGGATGATGAAGAGTTGTCTACATTCCCCATGTGTTTGTTTTGTTCACCTTATTCTTTTCTTCTTCTTCTTCTTCTTCTTCTTCTTCTTCTTCTTCTTCTTCTTCTTCTTCTTCTTCTTCTTTGTATTTTGATCTTTTCCCTCCTTGATTATATAATTCGTTTCTTACCAAACACACAACTTTTATACCACACCAAAAGTATTCATTTCGAATCACGAACTATTCATTTTGAATTGGGACTAAGGGAGTATAATTTAGTTGTACGAGAATTAAATTAATACTATGTATTTTTTTAATATCATCACCTCTATTGTACATTGTACACCGGATAGTTAATTGATTAATTCAACTTCAGAAAATCCAAGAAAAAATGTAGGATGGCCCTTGCAAGAAAATTAAAAACATTAACCTTTTTTAACCTTTATACAGAGTATGTTAGAAAAGGATAACTATAAATTGCGGGAACTAATATTTTTACTCCATATTATTTACACCTTATTTCAATTAAAACTTGAAATCTGATAACTGTGAAATATGTAATCTAAAGTTTGAAAGTTGGATTCTACAAGGAACAAAAATAGAGTCTCGATAATGGAATGTTAGAATCTATAAGTGAAACTAATAGTTAGATACTCTCTTTATCTTAAATTAAAAATTCATTTTGACTTGTTTCAGAATCTTAGTCTCCTTTCATATCAGGGCAATTATTTCAGACAACATTCTTTTAGCAGTAGAGGTCGGGCACTTCCTCATTCGTAAACATTCAGGTAAAACCGGTTGGGTTGGATTGAAGATGGATATGTCCAAAGCTTATGACCGCATGGAGTGGAGTTTTCTTCGTCTCATGATGTCTAGACTAGGCTTCGCAGAAAGATGGATCCAGTTGATTATGCTCTGTGTGACAACCGTTAGATATCGGGTTCGGGTTAATGGCTCTCTTGGAGACATCATTAGGCCTTCTCGAGGGCTTCGGCGGGGAGACCCTCTTAGCCCCTACCTTTTTCTTATTTGTGCAGAGGGCCTATCTTTGTTGTTACAAGATTCTGAACGACGGAGCTGTTTGCATGGCATCTGTGTTGCTCGGGGAGCTCCATCTATTTCTCATTTATTATTTGCAGATGATAGTCTGCTTTTTATGCGAGCCACAGTGGATGAAGCTACGGAGGTGAAAAGGTGCATCATGGAGTACGAGAGACTATCTGGTCAGGCCATCAATTTCAACAAATCAAGTGCCTGTTTTAGTTCAAATACTCCAGCTTGGATGCGGACGTGGGTGGCTGATTTCTTTGGAGTGGTCTTTACACATGACTTTGGTAAATATCTTGGCCTACCTTCCTTCCTGGGTAGGAATAAAACTGCTGTTTTCTCTTACATTATTGATAAAATTGATCAGCGTATTGGTGGTTGGAGTAAGAAATATCTTTCAAAAGCAGGAAAGGAAGTGCTTCTTAAGACAGTTGCTCAAGCCATGCCTCAATTCGCGATGAGTGTGTATTTACTTCCAAAATCAGTTTGTCAACGAATTGAAAGACAGATGAATTTCTTTTGGTGGAGAAGCGGTAAATCTCATGAGCGTGGCATTCACTGGATGTCTTGGGAAAGGCTCTCGGTCCCTAAAATATTTGGGGGTCTTGGGTTCAAGCAGATACATGCCTTCAACATTGCCATGCTTGGCAAACAAGGGTGGCGTTTCATCTCACAACCGGATACACTGGTGTCAAAGGTTTTTAAGGCCATGTATTTCCGAACTTGTTCTTTTTTGGATGCCACCTTGGGCAGCACACTGAGTTATTGTTGGCGTAGTATCATGGCATCCCAAGGTTTGCTTAGAGGGGGTGTGCGTCGTCGGGTTGGTAATGGGCAGAACACCGTGGCTTAGGGAACCCCCTGGCTTATGGACGACGCCAATCCTTACTTGGAGTCTGCTCTACCAGAGACGGGGGGGTAACTCATTGGTAGCGGATTGGATTGATCGTGATTTAAACTATTGGAACATCCATCTTCTTAACTCTTTGCTCTGTCCTAGGGATGTGTGTCAGATTCTCAAGCTGCCAATCAACTTCCACTCAGATGATACTTGGTTCTGGAAGGGGGAAGTTTGGGGTCAGTACACAGTTAGAGATGGCTATCGAAAATTCATGGGAGAAGCTTCGGCAGATCCATCCTTCTCTTGTTGGGGAAGACTTTGGAAAATCCCTGTTGCACCAAAAGTCCGGGTTTGTCTTTGGCGAGCAGTTCGTGGGATTCTCCCAACATCATGCGCCCTTATTTCAAAAGGTTTGGAGCTGATCCCTTTTTGACCGGTATGTGGTTTTACGGAAGAAACAATAGAACAAATTTTTCTCTCTTGCTCCTTTGCTAACTCTGTTTGGGAGCTTCTTGCGTTGGGGGGGATCGGTCATCGGCCACTGGTTTTCCTTCATGGCTCCAGCAGATTCTGCTCACAGCTTCAACAACGGTTCTCCAACAGATTGCTTGGGCGATTTGGTGTTTATGGAAGAATCGGAACGATGCCTTTTGGAATCATGTCGTCGCTGTACCCTTATCATTGAAGCATGAGATCATTCACCTGCAAAACACTTATGTCTCTAATGACATGGGTCTTAATTTATTTCACGGGAGGTTAAAAACGATGGAGGGGTCGTCTAATGCTTGGAAGTGTTCGGTGGATGCTTCTCTCTTTCCTCGTTCGAAGCTCACAGGTTTTGGGTCTATCCTTTTTACACCCAGTGGTTCTTTCAAGGCTGCAATTAATGGTGTTACACATAGCGATTTTGACCCCTTTATGGCTGAAGTTGTGGCTTGTAGGGAGGCTCTTTCCTGGCTAAAAAACATGGGCGTTGATGCGGTGGTGCTCTCCTTAGATAATCTCAAATTGGTTCAAGTATTACAACAAAGGGATGCCTCTTCCGTTTTATCCTACGTGGGTTCAATTTTGGACACTTGCTTTACTCTTATTTCTTCCTTTAGGCATATCAAATTTAATTTTATTCGTAGATGTGAGAATGTTTTGGCTCATGTGCTTGCTAGACAGGTTGAGATTTGTGTTGATGTGTGGGAGTCTAACCCACCAGACTTTCTTGTTCCTTTTTTGAATGATTAATCATTATTATGTTGTTTCAAAAAAAAATTCATTTTGACCATACACGAAATTCTAAAATGTAAAGTGTCTAAATGTATTAATTTGAAAGACAAAATAAGAATAATAATGACCATATACTTCTCCGTATGAAAAAACACGAAGTAAATAATTTAAGACTAAAAATAAATGTTCGAATATTAATTGTGTAGTGAATTATCAAAATAAAGATGAATCCCCCATTCCTCCCTCATCATGATCAAATGATCTAAACAACAGGTCCTAATTCAGAAATGGAAATTTAAGTTACTACTCCCTCCGTACTTCGAAATAATAAAGGGGGAAAAAAACCCCACAGCACAGCAGGAACCCTAGTCCAAAACGATCTGAAACAGATCTGAATATCCATATCTGTCATAGAGTGTGGAGCTTCCATCTAGTCTCCTCCATTCCTCTCCTCCGCCATTTCGCCCCCCATCAACTCGATGCAGCGACCGTCTTCTGCTCATCTCGTCCTGCCTGACAAGAGAACTCCACCCTGAACTCATGCCCCTTCTCTCCTAACACCGCCGGAGCCTGTCCACATCACTGTTCTATTCAGAGACGTATTCCGGCCGTTTCCGAGGAATTCTACATCGTCTCCGTAATCCACCGGGAGTGTCCGAGGCTCTTCTCATAGTGTTTTTGCGTCTGCCGCGCCATTTCCCCACTGGTTGGGCGTGACATTGCTTCATAGCTACACAGGCATGATGATCAGCAAACAACTTCTTCTGACATATCTATATCTCCTTATTTATATTTTGCTCTCATCTGGCGTCATTTTGTACAACAAGGTATGCTTCNGCGTGACATCGCTTCATAGCTACACCGGCATGATGATCAGCAAACAACTTCTTCTGACATATCTATATCTCCTTATTTATATTTTGCTCTCATCTGGCGTCATTTTGTACAACAAGGTATGCTTCACCTGCTTTATGCCTTATTTCATCAACAATGCCTTTTCATTCGTCTCACGATTTAGCCCATGAGTATTCAAGGAAATCACGGCATGCATCCCGAGAACTCAATAAATAAAACACGCTCCCTCTTCCTACTATAGATGTGAGGGAAGATAAATTGAACATAATCTGAATTTGTATTAAACTCAAGTACAATCTGGCCTGACCGGATTATCTCCTTTCTGAAAGCAGTAGTTAATTTTTGGTAACCCGTTCTCCATCGTGTGGTGTTTTGGCCATAGTGCCATACTACATGGTTTACGTTGCTCTGTGTAGATTTATTTCCATCCGTTTCACCTGTTAGTTAGTTCATCATAAGACAATGCCAGTCTCAGTTGTGTAATTTTATCATCTCTGCATCACAAGTTCACAACTCCATGCATTTTCAGGTAGTGTGTTGGATATAATATCGACAATCTTGTTCTCTTCTTTGAATTTGGTGGGTTGGTGCCTTTGGTGTGTAGAGTTTCTATCTTTTTGAAATGATCTTAAATGTTCATGTTCTTTGTGTGCCTTGTTTGTTTGTTTGCAGTGGGTGCTCTCACCAAAATATTTCAATTTCCCACTGCCCATAACGCTCACCATGATTCACATGGGCTTTTCTGGCTTAGTAGCATTCTTTCTTATCCGTGTTTTCAAGGTATGATAATTCTGAATCTCTGTTCTATTTGCTTTATGTTCTGAAGGTTTACCTATTTTAAAACTATTGAACATAAGATAAACGATTGATTATAGAGTACTTGAGGACAGTCAATTTCAACAATTGGCATTTTGGCTAGTAGTTTAGTACTCCTTTTCATATGTGTGCACGTGTGTGTCATGTTATTCACCCAATTTCACCTATTCATCCATATAAGGCAGATGCAATTGCAGGTTTTTATTCTAGAAGTATTGCATGTCTTAGTCTATAGAATTTATAAAAGTCCTTACGTTAAGTTTCTTTGATTGTCTTTAATCTTCTTGAATTTCAGTGTAGGACAATTTGTATATTACGGAGTAAATAGTTTAGTACACATTGGTCAGCAAGCAGTCAGATTTTTTTCTGGATCACTGTAGATGGGTTTACTTAGTGGAGATTATCCTTTGGAGTTTGCTTGTTTCAACTTTCAACCACTTGCTTATAATTGTGCATCCGCTTAGTCCCCTCCCCTCAAAGAATAAAACTCCACCCCATGTGTTCTATTTTGTCCATGTGGTTCATTCTGGTTCATACCAGTATATCACCATCAACTCATTTCTTGTCAAATTTTTTTTGTTCCGTGTAGGTTGTGTCCCCTGTCAAGATGACATTTGAAATGTAAGAAAGCTGCAACATATATTCACATCTTTGTTACATTTGTTGGTAACCTCCTACATTTACAATTTATTTTGCATGCACAGATATGCAACGTGTGTGATTCCAATCAGTGCTTTCTTTGCAGCTAGTCTTTGGTAAGTGCCTAAGTGACTGTGGTGTATATGAGGAACTATATTTATTTCTTTCCTTCTACCAAGACCTTCCATAATATAGCTATGTGCTGTTTTAAAATGCATCTACCATTTATCTACATAATCACTCTTATATTTTGTATCAATTGGCCATTGGAGTGTAAATGCCTTCAGTTTCAACCATCTTGCCTTAACATCCTCTTAATTTCTTATCACATCATTGACATCAAATCACCTAGACGATATGGCAAGATAAAGAGGATGCTCATCTCCAGTGGTGATGGCGGAACCATGTTTTAGAAATTGGTTTATTTTTAAAAAGCAAAAAGTATATCTCATTCACTGCAATGGTTGAAACGCAAAATTTATTGCAACTTCCAGTATATGTCAGAAGTACACTATGGTATGTCACTAATAGTTATTAATTTATTATTTTACGAAACAATCAAATTGTGTGCTTTTGCAGGTTTGGCAACACTGCTTACTTATTCATCTCTGTCGCCTTCATCCAGATGCTTAAGGCTCTAAGTATGTTTCTGTAGTGATCATAGGTACCATTTTAAAAATTCCATTTTGTCACCACATTTGGAATACTTATTAAATTGGGTTTACCATGCTTTTATCTTTAAAATACAGTGCCAGTTGCCACTTTTGTCGTAGCGGTAATTTGTGGAACAGACAAACTAAGATGTGATGTGTTCCTGAACATGGTTTTGGTCAGCATTGGTGTTGTCGTGTCCTCCTATGGAGAAATTCATTTCAATGTTGTGGGCACAGTTTACCAAGTCACTGGCATATTTGCCGAGGCTCTTAGGCTAGTTTTAACTCAAGTTCTTCTCCAGAAAAAGGGTTTAACTCTGAATCCTGTCACTAGCTTGTATTACATTGCACCATGCAGGTACACTTCTCTCAATTCTGGGTTGACATATCTCATTTTTCTGTTTGCTAGTGTCTAGCACAAAACTGTTTCTACTTTCTAAAGTGGTGTTTGGATATTTAAGAAATACTTGTATACATGGTATTAAAATAACTGAAGGGAAACATTGTGTTCTACCAATAAAGCTTGTTGAAGCCTGAAATGTATATGGGATACTTATAGTCTTTACTATATGCAGCTTCGTGTTCCTTTTCATTCCATGGTATCTTCTGGAGAAGCCTGAGATGGTAGTCTCGCAGATTCAATTCAATTTTTGGATTTTCTTTTCCAATGCACTATGTGCTTTAGCCTTAAATTTTGCAATATTCTTGGTGATCGGAAGAACTGGTGCTGTGACAATCCGAGTTGCTGGTGTCTTGAAAGACTGGATTCTTATTGCCCTATCAACTGTTGTTTTCCCCGAGTCAACAATTACCAAACTTAATATCATAGGCTATGCCATAGGTACACCTCTTATTCCATGTCATTTTTACCATAGTACTGTACAAGGCATCATATGGATTAATACGAACGAAATGAAATACGGAGTAACTCTTAACATAATTTCTGCAGCATTATGTGGTGTCGTGATGTACAACTATCTTAAGGTAAAGGACGCCCGATCATCCCAACTTCCCGTTGTGGACCGACCTCTAAAGGTGGTAGAAATGAACTTTGAACCTTGCTTTGGTTTATTATTATTATTATTATTATTATTATTATTATTATTATTATTATTATTATTATTATTATTATTATTATTATTATTATTATGATCATCATCAGCATTTTACCCTAACAGATACACTGCATAGGATAATAAGAATTTCATTGTTTTTTACCCACAGGACCTTAAGATGGAGAAGAAGTCGTCTGATTTGTTCGTACCGGATGATGTTATTAGCAGCAGTGGAACAAGAAACGGATCCCAAGATTCAATGTCTGATGAAGAGGCGCCGTTGATTCCAACAGCTAGAATCTCTCATCTTGGACGAAGCCAACTTGGAGGCGGAAGCGGCCACTCTGCATGACCCGTTTAACAGACTGCTAGCTTTGTTTTGTTCGATAGTAGAAAAGGTTGAGAAGCTGAGTTGAGGATTGGAACCATCAGAGATGTATACCTTTTTTTTTGCGAGAAGAAATCTCGATGTTTTTATTGCAAAGCCTCTTAACTGCCCACTTCATATTGTGAGTTATTGTACTGTAAATTTTTAATCAATGTTACCTATGCAAAGACTCATCATCTACATGCACGGAGTAATGTTTTAAGCTGTTAATCTTCATGCTCTCATTGTGTTCACTTGGGCATATATTATTGACATGATATTGGCCTTTCCAGCCACTTTTTAGTTTTTGACGTGCCCATATTTTCCGTGAAATAAAACATTGATTGCGCATTAGGAAATCACTCAGTTCACAACAAAACACTAAATATGTGGTGGCTGGAGGGAAGAGTTGTGTTTGGGACATGGTCTGATATAAGACTGAGCATTCACAAACCAAAAACGTTATTATTCAACCAGTGTAGAATGAATAGACTGAGAATTTGAAGAGGCTCTGTTTACTGTTTTCCTCTGGTGTACATAAGTATGTATATATGTATGCAAGTGTAAATACACCAAATCGAATGCAGCTAATATGTTTGTTCCTATACATTCAATATCTATTTTGCAATTGAAATATTCCGCCTTCTTGTGTGCGATTTGATCAAGGGAGAAAAGGATTGTGAGAAGGATAAGCCTGCTGTTCTTTTCTGTAAGCCCTGCAGATGTAAAAAGACTTGATTCAAACAAATGACTAAGGTGGAGTTAAAATTTTGACACGTACGAGGTCCTACAATGCTCCTATTGGGCCCTGAAGTGGGTTATATTCCCTACAAATTCCCAGATCTCCATCTCTCTCTGGTCTGGTGTCATATTATGACTGACATTCGAGGTGGATGTTAGCAGAACCTCACTGTATTATTAAAGATGGGATTTGTGTAATAGTAATAATGCCTTTAACTTCATCTCACCTGGCCACATTTGATCCAGCCAGTGCAAGAGTGCCTAGGATGACCAAAAGGAAGGGAACCCCAACCAGCATATGATTCCTCCTCCCTCCATTTGCTCTTGGAACGCCTCCCGTACGGACCACATATGAGTATGCCCCTGTTTATGATTCGGTACCACATTTTTAGTCAAATGACATTACACTCTGAAAATGCAAAGAGGCATCCACATTCAGCAATTAACTTGCCTGCTTGGGAGGATTTCAGTACTCTTGCACCTGCAGTTATTATTTGTGCATTAAAATAACAACATTGTACACAGTACTGATACAACACCTCATTGTTGATCAATTAAAGTAAAATCACGCATCCTAACACAAAAAACGTTCAGACGCTTTAATTACGGAGTATTCCACAAATCGTTGGGGAAAGGGATGACAAATTACGGCAGCAAATGTGAATGCAGAAGAGAGAAATACCAGAGCACAAGCAGCTGTACGCTTCAGAAACCTGCAGCAAAATGCACTCAGCTCAGAATTCAGAATAAAGCAAAATGCTGAAGCGCCGTAAAAGCTAAAGCACGTGAAGGGCAAACGGGTTGTGCTCACCATCTTGAACTTATACTCCGCATATGATTTTTCATGAGCAGGAAAGCGGTCTGGATGAGTTTCCCATATCTTTGCTCTATAAGCAGCTTTAACCTGGCCACACATTTGCAATCCGTAAATATAACTCTCTCAAACTAGCAAAGCAATCTAATCTGATTTGGACCACAGCTGAGATCAGGAGTAGAAAAAGATCAAGTACTAATTAATGGTCAAAGTACAAGGAGATGGAACGAATTCAATTTTTCAATTAAATGAAGAAATAGAGCAGAATTTTCTAGCATAAACTTCGTAGATGGGATCGGGATCAGGGAGTAGATAGAAAATGGAAGGGG